AATAGAGGTTCCGGTACAGGTTAGAGAGCAGAGATTGCGGCTATCGTGTAAATGCATGAGCATCAGTGCAAAGGAACAGCGGCCATTATACTTATTTACAGAAAATCAAACAGGAGGAGGTGGCGTAACCACGAAATCGAGGCAGGTAAAAGAAAGTGTTTAAGATAGAAACCCATGGTGGTGGTAGTGGGTAGAAATCACATAAGCTGGACCGAGTTCCGAGTTCATGTTTTTGTGTGAGTAACCTGAGGGGGGTGAGCACGACCGAAGGTCTTGCATAGATGAGTCAGCCGTTCAGAGACATACGAAACACCTACAGCTGGCTTTGGAATAGTTGAAATTCTCAGCGACACAGAGTATGCAGTTGTCAGCACACTGCCTTTGTGCGTTTTATGGGGAGCGTGGGGATGGGGGGGAGGGGAGAGTGGAGAATAGCAGAAGACAGGGTCATTTCGCTTCCAAGTACGGTCCGAGTGACCTACTTAAGAAAATATGGAAGATGACTGTCGCACTGCCTCTGGCGTCTCGGTGACAGATTCTTTTGAACAGACACCAACACCGTATTCGTCAACGGACTGCAGCTGGAGTCTGGGGTGGTGGAAGTTCACTTCTGGACAGAGAGGGGAGTACTGAGAGCTGGGGGATCTTCCTGCCTCAGCTGCCTCTGTGTGTTGTTCCTCCTGCTGTTGCTGTTGGTCCGGCGCCGTTTCACTTCTTGTGTTATGACTGACCTCCGGAGTTCGTGTGCCAGCAGGGCTGGGTGACGCACTGCTCAACAGTTCGCTCACTTCCATGTGGACATCCTCCTCCTCGTCATCAAAGCGTCCAAACTGCACCGGCAGGTGGAGCACGGCGGTGGGGTCCTCGAGGTTCTCATTCAGAGAGCTGCTCTCACTCACAGTTGATGGCACAGAGCTTCGCAGCTTGGACAGAGATGTTCCTAAGGCAACAAAAGGAGGCCGATTAGATTTGTAGAAGTTTGAAACATCATGTGAACAGGAAAGCTCTGTAAGAACATTCCAACGCTTCGCTCACACATACAGCTGAAGTTCATAT